GGCGTTTATCACAGCAGTTTAACACGTTTGTATGATATGCTCGCTACTGATTTTGCAACAGAAATGGTTGTATGCGATCGTGAAACAGCAAATTACGTCATGCAGTCCGTGCGCTGCTGCCTTTACTAGTGCGGAAATCGGGAAATTGCCGTCGCCCAAACTTTCCAGCTACCTAACTCTTTCAGCCTACTACTTTCTTAATTGTCGACCACATTTATCACAGTAATTAATCACATACGTCGCCTACGTTCATCATCTACTCTACTACGCAATGGCAAGGACAAAACCACGGCCTAAGGTCACCGGTAAAGCCGGCCGGGGTGGTCCTGATGGCAAGACAGTTACTGGCGGCAAGCCGGCTCAGAAGGCCCTTGCTAGTAAGGCTAGACGTCAAGTAGCAGGAAAGTCTACGCGAAAGGCACCTGTAGCTGTTAAGAAGAAGCGCAAGTTTAAGGCCGGCAGTAGGTTATCACAGTCGTTTATCACAGCTATTTTCTAATTTAGCTTAGCTGTCGCATTACGGGAAATCAAGAGATACCAGAGAGGTTTTGAACTACTCTTGCGAAAACTCCCCTTTTCCCGCGTAGTGCGCGAATTTGCACAGGTGCACAAGGCCGATATCCGCTTTCAACGATCTGCAATCGAAGCTCTTCAGGAAGCTACAGAAGCTTTCTTAGTTGGTTATTTTGAGGGTATAGTCTATCTACCCTATACTATTTTTCATTTAATAACTTTTATAGACTGCAACATCAATGCTATTCACGCAAAGAGGGTTAATATTCAAGAGAAGGATTCTCAATTGGCTAGGCGCTACTTTGCGCGCGAGTTACTAGCTTTTCTCTAGATTATAAGATATATCTAGATACACGTGCTTAAATGCTAGCTGGCGAAGCCTCTGTATATTATAAATGAAACTAGTTAATGCTACACTGTGTTAATCTACTGTGATACTATATAAACTTTTCTTTTATTGAAATCTATATTATACATCTTGCAATTTTTTTACTATAACCCAACCCTAACCCATGGTCCGTGCGACCCCAACCCAACCCCAACCCAACCCTAAGCTTGGCGCTGACAAATGGGTTGGGGTTGGGTTGGGGTCGCAAAATTTCTAACCCAACCCCAACCACACCCCGACCCATTTGCCAGCGTAGCTGGGCACTTAGTCCTACTTAAGGCTTACCACGAGATTTTTAAGTTTCTCTTGAATTTCTTCGAGCGGTGCCGAGTTTCTCGCCAGGATTTCCTTAGCGGGGACTAGTCCTAGTTGTTCTAGGAATTCTAGCTATTTGTTTAGTGGCAATAATTTGGTGAGACCGTCGGCGATTATATCCGCGGTAGGTATGTACTCTACGGAGATCTGGCCTGTCGACACCTCCTGTCTAATCTAGTAATTGTGTATATCGATATGTCTAAGTTTAGTTTAAAGCTTTAAGACCTCCTTAGTGACTAGGCGAATAGTCTGTTTGTTATCGCATTGAATAGTAATACTAGGGGTGTTAAGCTAGATATTTAGCTCCTTAAGGAGACGGGACAGGAATAGAGCTTCCTTAGCTACTTAAGATAGAGCGAGGAGCTTAGCTTCTATTATTAATGTTATAATAGTGTCTTATTTATTAGCTTTCTATACAATAAGTCTATTAAAGAGCTTAATCGCGTAGCCCTGTAAGCTCTTCCTGTCTAGGGTATTGTCGGCAAAGGAAGCATCGCTGGCTATCTGTAGTCTAGCGCCTCCTCTAAGTTATAGCGTAAGGTGCTTTATCGCTAGTAGATATTAGAGGACTTAGTTGGCAGCGTTATAGTGCTCTAGTCCTAGGTTAGAGAGAAAGCGGGCGAGCCGCGACGTCGCAAAGGCGATATCTAGTCTAGTAGTCACGGCTGCGAAGAGGAGCGAGCCTATCTTGCGCTGGTATTTGTTAATCTCTAATAGGGAGGCGAGGCCGTCTCTTAGTAGTAGTTTGGCAGTCGCTATTAGCGTGTCGTGTCTAATGTTAGTACGGTTGGCCAGTCTGCTAATCTTGTCTACGTAGGCCGCCTGCGATAGCTAGATCGTCCGCGCCTTTTAGTCTTAGATAATCTCGACGCCGAGGAACTATTGTAAGTCGTTTCCTCTAGTAAAGAGGTATCTATCCTAGAGGCTAGCAATTGCCTGCTAGGCGGATTGTTCTATATCTTTGTAGTATGCGAGTATAATGTCGTCTACGTAGAAGAAGATAATAATGCTGTCTTTAATAAGACAGTAGGGTTCGTGCGGTACTTCCTAGAACCCGAGTTCTTTAAGAGTGCCTGTAAACTCTTTCTGCTAGAGGAGCGGGGATATACGCAGTCTATACAATGCCTTATTAAGCTTAAGTATAGTGCCTAGCTTCTAATAGCCGCGTAGTATTCTTATAAATACTTCTTAGTCTATTATTGCATGCACGAAGGCGTTTGCTACGTCGTACTATTTAAGCTCTAGGTCGTACTTTGCCGCAATTGCGGTTAGCATTCAGAACGACCGGCTTGCGAGTGTTGCTGCGTAGGTGTCTTGCGATGTGATGTTTCGCTGCTGATCACCGCGGACGACTAGTCGTGCCTTGCACTTAAGTAGTCGGTAATGCTTGTTAAGTTTGTAGGTGTATACCTATATATAGTCTAGGATTTGTTATTCTATTTGCTTAATTTTCTTTATAGGGATCTCTGTCTATAAGTTTATTTAATAGTAGCTTGCTAGATAGGACTGTTCTGCTTCTTTAAATAGTTCTCTTATTAGGTAGTCCTTAAGCTTAGTTCGGCATATTAGCAGAGGTGGTAGCTAGCTACGATAGGGCTTTAAGCCTTTAGCAAGCATTCTTACAATCGCAGCCTTATCTATAGCTACTCCTCTGTATTCTCTAACCTTTCTAGCCTAGGTACCCGCTATAAACGCTGCTGCCTATAGGGCAGTCTTAGGGGTTCCTTGTCGATCCTTCTTATCTAGCGATGCTCCTGCTATTAGCCGCGCGAGCAACGCTGCGGGTGGCGGTGTCGCCGGAGGTGTCAGGTAGCTGTCCTAGATTTTTCTCCCTTAATAGTATCCTGGCTGGTCGCCCTCGCTGTCCTAAGCGAGTGACTCCTCTAGTGGACTGTCCTTATAGAAAGACTCCGTCTCTAGTTGCTGCGCTAGTGTTGGCAGCTTAATAGTCCTCACGTGTGTCGCGATTTCTTCTAGCGTATTGTGCATAAGGTTATCTATTAGGTCTTTAGTTTTGCTATTAAAGATTAACTGTTCGTCGAAGACAACGTCTCTAGTGCTTATTACTTTAGCGAGTAACAGTATCTAGATTTAGTAGATGTTTAATGACTGGTATCTGACTAGGTATCTAATCTATGCCTTTAGGTCGAGGCGTTGTAGGCGCGACTTCCCTCTGTAGGTGTCGTCTGTTATAGCGAAAGCTTTGCAGCTATATACCTTAAGATAAGTAAGGTTTAGTTTTTAGAGAGATGTGACTATTCCGTTGCTGAAAGCTACTCGTGTGAAGAAGACTTCGTATAGTGTCTTCTAGTGATTATTGTAGTTTAGGGTTCTATTATAGAGATAGACTATGGCTTAAGTGATTTCTAGCTACAATTCCTAAGAGAGATTAGCGTTAAGTCGCATTGCGCGTGCCTTCTCCTTATTCACACCCCCTAAGCGCTCGGCTCCACCGTTTTGTGCCTGTGTGTCTAGGGCTAAGGGCTCGACTCTAATGCCCTGTGTTGCTAGCTATCGCTCGACATTTAGCTTAACAGTTGTGATCTCGTTGTTAGACTCTATAGTCTTAACGGATATATTGTAATAGTTCTTTATAAATAAGAAGAAAGTTATAAGCAGCTAGATAATAGACTTAGCTGTCTAGTTGTTAGTAAAGTATAAGTCCTATTAGAGGCCTAAGAAACAATTAGTAATAAGCATTTAGCTCTTCTCTTTTGTAATCGCCTAGACTTCGTATATATAGAAGTCGATAGCAAGTTGCTCTCCTAGGCCTTCGTCGTTTGTTCGCGGTAGGCGTCGTATCTATCTCTTAGACTTAGCTCTTCCGCAGGAGTCGCATTGTACTGTTGTTACCCCTTAAACTCGCACCCCCTTAGACTACTGCACGAGATGCTTAATTGCTGCTAGTCCTAGGTAGCCGAGTCTCTTGTGCCACAGCATTGCTGAGGCCTTCTTTAGTCCTCGCTGCGTGCGTGCTGTGATAGCTTTTGTGTGGACAAATACCTAGGCTAGAGGATTATACTCTAATACCTACTAGCCAAAATTTTCTAAGAGGTTGCTAATAACTTAATTGTCTAGTCCTCGTAGGTTAGTTAGGTTTAATTTAGTATCCTACTAGATTCCTCTTTGCTATAGCAGTCGGAAGGACACTAGATTATATACGATCTCTAGGCAGATTGCTATATCTCGCAGCACTAGCTTTGTTGTCCTATGCTAATATTGCAGCGTAATGTCTGTGGTCCTGTATCCCCGTATCTAAATCTTTATACTACTAGCCTATATGTAGTCTCCTAATGATAACGGGCGGTAGTTGTATATCCGATCTAGATTATTTATGATATAGCACGTCGCTCTTAAATTAAGAATAAATAATCGTGCGAGAAGGTACGTGTGCTCGGCTGTCCCACTCCGTGCAATGGTAGTGAACGCGGCGTCTACGTCCGTAATCTTTCAGCCTTCTAGTTATTTAATTAGTGACTAAGAGTACTCTAGCGTTGGTGTATGTAATTATTTTAGAGCTAGCGTGCGTGTATAGGATCTGCATTGTCCACGGATTAGCCCTTACAGCTATGTATCATTCTTATATTTAAACTGTACTAGTTTATTTATAGCTTTATTTAGTGTCCACCACTCTAGCGCTAGGTCTAGATTGACATAGTAGCATGCTCTAAGTTCATAATATTAATAACACGCTAGGCATTTCTGCCTAGAGGTAGTCCCTTTACTTTGCGCTAAGGACCGCTTCTGTGCTAGCTTTCTCATAGCTTGTAAGGTTTGTGGTTATTTACGAGGACGTCCCTAATACTTTGTTTGCGAGGTATTCCCCGGATTCAAGTTGGTAGATGGCGCGGTGACCCCACTGCTCGGCGTCCCGCGCAGTGGCTAGTAGGATGCACCTCTAGCGAGAGTTGTATTATTATATATACTTTTATTGTAAGCTGCTATAGCTGCTTTGTGCTTCCCTAATCTAGAAAGGGGATAGTGCATCATTATGTGCTCTCGGAACCGATTCATTATCTCCTTTCGGCTTATCCTAGCTGCCCATCGTCTGTTCTCTTGGAAGTTTACGGCCTAGATAGGTGCTGTTTTCTAGACTGCCACTAGAAAGTCCTTTAACATCGCATTAAGTTGTAACACTTCTAGTACGCTGTATACTTTAGCTTCCGTGGCGGCTTAGTTATATTCCGCTAGCCACGTGTCCTATTGATTTGGGGTCCTTATTAGTTTGAGGGATACTAGGTATCTTTCTCTAGCTCGCTCCTTCTCGGTGCGATCGCTCACTCCAACTGTAAGCTTTAAGTTTATAATCTACTCGCGAAGTGTCTTGTCTAGGAGACAGCATGTGCGTAGTAGGTGCGGTGACACGCTTAATTAAATTAGGGTTATAATGTGCTAGAAGCTTGACTGCTCCTTTTCGTATTAGTGTCGGTCGCTTTTGTACTGCTCCATCGACATGCGATAGTACTCGAGGTCTTCTTTAAACGCTTTCTATCCGCTGTTCGATAGTTCGCTAAGTCTTCTTAGCTCTTCGATGCTAGAAGTTACTTAGTAGTTAGCAAGGATTAAGATTCTAAGGTCGGTAGGCCTCCGGAGGGGCTGAGTAGTAGTCTTTAGGTTAATCTTATCCTAAATATTATGTGCTATGCAACGCGCTTGCAGTTGTAGCATCCAACCGGTGTAGTCTGACTGGTCGCGTAAAGTCACGGTCGCGTCGCGGGTGGTAAATGTCGTCATTTTGGTAGGTAGGTAAAGATAGTGAGACTCTTAATTGTCAGATATTCACTCTCATCTAGAATACTGATGAAATAGGTAATAATAGTGATAATATTAATAATTAATTGTGTGTTGGTTCTGTCTACGGTTGTGGGCACACCTGGGGGGTGCCAAGCCTTCCTGTGATCCGATTGGCTCTCTCAGATGCCGGGTCGCGCTAGTCTAACCCAGCGTCTGTACGCTCTCATCTTCAACAGTGCTATTATCTGACACCTAAAATGAGCTTCTCTAGCATGAGATCTAGGGACTTCAATAAGCCCTAATTATAAAATAGAAGCGTAAGAAGAAGATCTACCCTTTAGATCTTTAAACTGATTAGGATGGGTATTATGGAGTAGCTGTTTTCTAGTCACCAAAGAAAATTCGCCAAGCCCGGGAGCGTAGGGTAATAGAAGAACGTGAGAAAGACAAGTTACAACTCTAAAAAGCTCGTAGACTAGAGTTAAAAGAGCAGGCTAGGTTGTACAAACTTTAAGTAGCTCAGGAGAAGCGTGTGGAGCGGGAGAGACTTAAGGAGGTGCGCGAGAAGGAGAAGGCTGAAAAGATGGCTGAACGGGCACGTGAAAAAGCTGATCACAACTCTAGAAAAGCTATCCAAACAGCCCAAAACAGTAAGTGTAAGGCCTCAAGAACCTCTAGTCAAAATTCTAAGCGTTAAAAACGCGGTGTTGCTGCTACGGGTGTAGGGGAGCTATCAGGGGCTGCATCAGCGCCGCCGCCAGCAACCACTCGCCGTGGCCGCAACATCAAGTTACCGAGTAAATACAAGTAGCACAAGTTGGTCGCAAGCATCTAATTAGTACAATTCCATAACATCTCGTGATAATAGCTGTTGTGGGTGGCTCTACAATCTCATTTTTGCAAACTTCATAGTGTTGATGGTGTTGCATTAACGTGTCCGTGCGCGTGATGCGCGGATTCGCGTGATGCGCGGGGAACACCAAAACACGTCAAACCCCTTCACCTTCAACACACGTTAACTCCACCAATATGGACCTAATTCAAGCTGCGATTGAAGATGTTGAAAATCTAGAGCCAGGAGAACAGTTCTCGTATACTAAAATTGCTGCTAAGCATGGTGTTGTGAGATCTACGTTGACCCGAAGGCACCAGGGCTAGACAAGCTTAGAAAGAGACAAGAACTTTAACTAGCAGAAACTCAACCCACAACAAGAGCTAGAGCTTATAAGATATATCGAAAAGCTTACAAAGCGAGGCATTCCTCCTACACGAGAGATGATTAGGAATTTCTTATTAGAAGTAGCCTATCAGCAGCTCAGCGAGAGCTAGGTTACTCGCTTTATTAACCGACACGAGATCTATCTTATCTCAAAGTAGACTAGCGCCATAGATCGTACGCGCCACCTAGCTAATTCTAAGTTAAAGTATAGACTCTACTTTAAGCTGCTGCATCGAAAGATCACTGAATATTACCTAGAGGCTCGAGATATATACAATATAGATGAGAAGGGCTTCTTAATTAGCTTAATAGGCAGAAGTAAGAGGATATTTAGCAGGCGTCAATAGGAGAAGAAGGAGGTTCGAGCATCTCTCTAGGATAGATCACGCGAGTTTCTGACAGTCCTAGCCTACTGCTGCGCTAATAGGAGCTCGCTATCTCTAGCCCTTATCTACGCAGCTAAAAATAGAGCTATACGATTAAGTTAGGTAGAAGATATTAAGGCAGGAGAATATAAGGTCTTTGTCTTATCATCTCTAATAGGCTAGTTAAATAATAACGTAGGCCTAGCTTAGCTAGAGCAGGTGTTTAATCGCTCTACAAAGCAACGATTAGGTAGATAGAGATTGCTTATCCTTGATAGCTATGGATCTCACCTCACGATAGAGTTTATTAAGTACTGCGATCGCCATAGGATCCTCCTTATAATCCTTCCTCCCTATTTAACCTATACGCTCCAGCCGCTAGATGTAGTGCTGTTCAAGCCACTCTCTTAAGCCTACTCTAACGAGCTCACTAACTATCTCTATAAGGCTTAAGGCCTTATTCTAATTAAGAAAGGGGACTTCTTCCCGCTCTTCTAGAGCGCCTAGATATCCTCCTTCACAGAGAGCCTTATATTAAAGGCCTTCGAAGCTACTAGGATCTAGCCGATAGATGCTAACGTTATCCTTCGTAGATTTGCTAGCACGCTAGAAGCTAAGAGAAGCTTATCGTTAGGGCTCTCTAATTATAACTAGAGAAAGCTCGATTGGCTAGTACGAGCTGCTGTTAATAATAGCCATTAGTATAAGGCAAGAAAGCTGCGCTTAAGCGTTCACCATCTCTCTGTGCAGTATGAGCTTTTAAAGCATAAGAACGAGGGCTTAAAGGAGGCTCTTTAATATAAAAAGAAGCACAGGAAGAAGGGCAAAGCTCTTGACCTTTAACAGCGCTAGGAGTATTACAGTGGCTTTATCTTCTAGTCTCCTCGCAAGCTGCGTGAGGCTCGAGCTAGAGAAGCAGTACGGGAGCGAGATGAGACGGAGGAGAAACTCCAAAAAGCACGGTCCAAGAAGCAGCGCGAGGAGGCTTAACTGTAGCGTTAAGATGAGCTCGAGGAGAGGCGTGTAGAGAGGCAGAGACTTAAGGAGATAAGGGAGCTTGAGCGAGCTAAGAAAGCAGCTGAACGCGCGCGCTAGAAGGAGGAGAGAGACGCTGCTAAAGCTATACAACTACCCTAAAAGGGAAAGAGGAGAGCTTTAGCAGCTACCTTATCGAACAATAAGCGTTAAAAACGCGTTGAGGCTGCTCGCGCTGGTGCTCAAGTTCAAGAAGAGCCTCTAGCTCCTCCATCAAAGCTCACAACACCGAACACCAACTTTTAAGGAATTTGGGACCCTTATAAAATTATACGATTTTTACATCATTTTAACGGCACGGCGGCCTGTAACTACCTCAGCTAAATAACCGCTTTCTGCTCTCGCGGAGGTGGTTAGAATGGCTAATGTAGAAACTCCAGAGAGGGCGCCACGGAGTGCCCAACCCCCCCATACACGATCAGAGGAGCCTGAGAGCCCTATTAATACTGACCTGCGCGGCAACAAGAGGAGGCAGCGAGCACATACTCGTGCTGAACCTTCTATCGGTAGCACTGCGCCCACCTCCTACAATCAAGCTGTCTCTGAAGCGGTCCGCCAGCGGATTCAGGCAGCCCAAAAAGCTACAAACCTCCACCACTCCATCATAACGGATCTAGCGACAGCTGTCGACAGATGCCTTGGGAAGTACACCGACCCAGACGGAGCCCGTGTGGCTAAGGACCTTCAACAGAAGGTGCTAAGGGCTATTAACACCTCCCTAATCACGCCCCTAATCACGCCCCCAAACTCAGGGAGCGACTCTGACACTACGCACCGCTCCTGGGCGGACGTAGCTAGGACCCTGAAAAATCCAACCCCCCCAGCAAGGGGGGCCGCTACGACGAAAGCGGCCACGGCTGCCCCAAAGCAGCTAGCTCAAACTCCTAGGCGACCTCTAAACACTGACAACCGTATCCTTATAGCGGTTGGAGCGGAGGCTCGGCTCCAACGGGCATCACCATTTGCGGCCCGCATGGCTATTGTAAAGGCGATTAAGGAAATTACCCCCTCCGACATACCTACGGCAAAACATATCAAGACTGGCTGGGCGATTACGCCCCGCAACGACAAAATCAAGGCCCTGCTTATGGGGCAGGAGAATCGCGAACTCATGATCCGAGCGGTAGAGGGCGAGAGCGCAAGACTACCTGAACGATGGGTGAACTATGCAGTCCAGGGCGTAGAAAGCTCATACCGCACTATCACAGGGGAAAGTATACCCACCACAATAGACGATATAGTCAGCGAAGCTCTGTCCCAGACAGGGATCGAACCGGCGAGCTGCCGGCCCTCCAGACATGGACCCACGGAGGGAAGGACAACCTGGATTATATCTTTCACCAGACCCGTACGATCGTTTCGCCTATTTGGGACGGGCGACTACGCGCACGAGATAAAGAAGAACTCACCTGCAATGCTGCACGACCCAGGCTGCCTAGGGTACTGCAAAACCAGCCGCTGCACAAGGCCAGCCCGCTGCACGACATGCAGCAAAACAACGGCAACTCACCAGGGACCGCACGGAGAACAATGCAAAGACACACCAAAGTGCGCCAACTGCCACGGCCCATTTCCAGCAACCCACGACAAGTGCCCAGCAGCCCCAACGAGGGCGAACGGCCGACTCATCCAACCCACAAAGGGGGAACTAAAAGTCATTAGGGAGGCGGGTGACCGTGCTTCTGAGGCAATGCAGCCAGCTAGAGGAAGACAGACAGGCAGCACGGTCGAAACCTCCATTGAAATCACGGACGGCGACATAGCTAATACTACTGAGCCTGTGGGAACACCTACGGACGCAAGTAAAAGAAGCCGACAAGACGTAAATAACCTAAACACAGCCACTGTTAGAGAGCCCGCAACCACCCTAGGGACTAGGAGGTCTAAGAGAACAGCTGCAACTACGCAAGACCTCAACCTAGCGCGAATGTCTGCTAGAAGCGTGCAGCCTAGCACCGCTGACCAAGACCCTAATACGTCATCGTCTGAGCACGCTGACACTGAAATGAGCCTCGGATCTAGTGCGTAATGAGGGCACAACCCGCAAATTCACCCGGCGAAACCACGCCACACCGACACAGACAAATGCAGGTATGCTGGGTGAATGTGGCCAGAAGCTCGCCTTGCCACATTACAGCCTTAGAACGTGCATGGGAAGCAGACATAGACATAGTATGCATCCAAGAACCCTTTACTCTCACTGGAACCCGGACCTCTACACACCCAGGATTCCATATGATATCGCCAGTGATAAGCTGGAACAACCCCACAACGTGGGGAACTGACCGACCACGGGTGCTCACCTATACCCGTAAGAGCCCAAATATAAGGGCTACTCTTATACACCCACGCATCAGCCGGGATGTGCTATGGATCGAGGCCAACGGCTACCGCATATTGAATGTTTATAGGCAGCCACAGAATGACTCGACATTTCAATACCTCACAGCTTTAACGCCACCCCGTAACTGCCTTATAGGGGGTGACTTAAACGCCCGCCATGAACTTTTTGAGCCCGGCTCCACGTCGGCCAATAGGGGGGCAGAGATCGCCCGCTGGGCCACTCAGAACGACATACCCTACATCGGCGAGGCAGGTAACCCAACACATCGGGCGGGACACGTGCTAGACGTATCCTTCTCAAATATACCCTTCGCTAGAACGACAGTCCGCGAAGATATGTATACAGGGTCAGACCATTTCACCCTAGTGACTGTCCTTCCAAGCCGAGGGAGAGCGGTGCTAGAACAGCATCACTACCGGGTCCACGAGAGAAACATAGATAGGTTTGCCGGGCTAGTTCAACTCTACACAGTAGGCGTACAGCCAATTAGCAATAGCGCCCCAGCGGACGTAATCGACGCAAGCATAGCTAGAATCACCCAAGCTATAGGAGATGCAATGCACGCGGCGGGAACACCAAATAGAGAAAAAGGCCACTCCGCCCCATGGTGGACAGAGGACTGTAGAGTGGCGTATAAGCGGCATATCCAGGAAAAGTCGGACTATGGCCAATCCCCCTCAGAAGCCACCCGTGCGTTCCTAGCTACGGTACGAAAAGCCAAGAGAACGTACTGGCAGCAGCGCATAGACGGCTGTAATAACGACAAAGATCTATACAAGCTAGTAGGCTGGCATAAACTATCATTCGACCAACGGGACACCCCACTTGTAATCGAAGGTAGGACAATCACAGCACCACTCGAGAAAGCTGAGGCACTTAGAGAGGCAATCCTCGACCGTTTTTCGGCGGAGGACGACCTCCTAGAACCACCGCCTCTTGACAACGACCCGCAAACCACGCCACTACCATGGGACACATACATATCGATGGAGGAGACTGAACGCTACGTGATTGGAGTATCTAGCACCTCCCCAGGACCCGATCAGGTGACCGTCCGACTCCTAAAGGCATGCTGGGAACACATTAGACACCTAGTGCTAGGCATCTACCGGGCGTGCATGGAACAAGGCCACTACCCAGCCGCCTGGAAGACGGTAGAAGTGGCCATGATACCCAAAGTCGGGAAGAAGGATAAGTCCTCACCCAGATCAATGAGACCAATTGCCCTATCGTCCTGTCTAGGGAAGGGACTCGAGCGTATCATAGCAAGGCGCATAGCACACACAGCTATGGCTTTTGACATCCTAAGCCCACAGCACGGTGGAGCGCTGCCAAAACGCTCTGCGATGGACCTGGCGACCGCATTCACACACGACGTGGAGATGGCTTGGTCAAGACACGAGCATGTCTCTATGCTCACGTTAGACGTCCAAGGGGCGTTTGACGCGCTACTGAAAAACAGGCTACTACACCGAATGCGGCAACAAGGGTGGCCACCCCTACTCCGGAAATTTATCCAGAACTTCCTGTCGGAAAGGAGGGTGCGAGTACGCCTAGGCAATGTCACTACACCTGTACATCGAGTGGCCTGCGGCACCCCGCAGGGATCGCCGCTATCACCGGTCCTATACACCCTATACCTAGCTGAACTACTCAACCAGGACCGAAAACTCCGGTTCGGGTATGCCGACGACATCAACCTATACCGGGTCTCCCACTCTTTAGACGAGAACGTCGCACTGCTAGCAGAGGACCTCAAATCTATCAATGAATGGGGAGCTGCGAACAAGATCACGTTTGCACCAGAGAAACGGGAGCTGATCCACCTCACGCGCCAGAAAGGACTACATGCGCCGCCAATCCAATTGGAAGATCAAACAATTCACCCTATAGCCCCTGCGCAGGGGGGAAGCCAGACTGCGCTGCGCTGGCTTGGGGTGTGGTTTGATAGGGGACTAACTTTCAAGAAGCACGTCGCAGAAAGGGCGGCGCAAGCTAGGAAAGTAGCGAACCATCTCCGGAGCCTCGCCAACACAGCCCACGGCCCTCCAGCAGGATCGCTACGCAAGGCAGCCATAACATGTATCCTGCCCATACTACTATACGGAGCCGAAACATGGTACGAGGGCAGGACGAAGAACCCACGAATTGCAAGGGTTTCCCGTAAACCCACGGTCAGCACTAGGGTAGGCTGGCACCTAACCACGATAGATCAGGCACTAATAGCAGCCACGAAGGCAATCCTCCCTGCGTGGAGGACAACACCAAACGCAGTACTGCTAAGAGAAGCTGCGATGCCGTCGGCACAGGTGGCGCTAGAGGAGGCCAAGCTCCGCTTTGCAGTTCACCTACGCACAATAGACGACAAGCACCCACTTACTAATAGAACTACACTGCCACTAGTCATACGAGGACGCGCAGCGGGCAACCGACGGATACCAAGATCGAAGGTTCAGCGCGTAGCACAACTGCTACCCGCCACACCCCGAAACGTCCTAGCCAGCCCTCACTTTTCAGACGGGTCGAGGCAGGATCCAACGCAAGGGCAAGGAAAGGACATTGCTGCCCAGAATTTCACCATCTGGTGGGAGTCTCTTGGACAAGAGACAATCACTGTCTTCTCAGACGGGTCTGAACAACAAATCAACGGTACAAGGGTGGTCACTTACGGGTACGCTATATACCAGGGCCAGGCCGCCGTGGCGACTGGACAAGGCTCACTAAATGCCCTTAGCCACGTCTTCGATGCGGAGGCTATAGGCGCGTGCAGAGGACTCAAACACGCACTACAACTCTCACTGCCTAGCCAGAGGGAGATCGTACTTTGCATAGACAGCACTTCGGTAATATGGGGCATACGCGGAACCGCCCCTACCTCCTCCCAATGGGCGTTCCTCCAAATCCATGGAGCTATGGAGGCCTACAACGTGAAAACGCGGTGGGCGCCGGGACACATGAAGATTGTTGGAAACGAACTCGCCGACCAGCTGGCTGACAACGAGGCCAAAGACCCGCACCAGCCATACGGCATGGCCGCCTCCCCCACAAGATCTGGTATACGAACAGTAGGCCGCCGCCTCCTCGAACATACAAGGGACACTTGGTGGAAGGATAAGAGCAGTAGGCTATCAGCATGGTACACGCAATGGCAGCTGCCATACGATACTAGGCGCACGCCCGCAGCGCTATGGCTACCCCGAAGGATACTCGCGAAAGTCCTTATGATACGCTCAACGCATGGCGACTTTGAATGGTACCACCGAAAATTCAACCACGAGGATACCTCGAAATGCCTATGCGGCAGGCCCAAGACGCCAGAACACCTAGTGTTCTGCAAGAGAGCCACAACACACTTCAAGAAGTGGCCTCTACGCCCCATCGTGCCCCCTCGCACAAGACAGGAAGGCCTAGCGTACCTCGCGCAATTAATAGACCAGCCACAAGAGTTCGAGACCTTCGTGAAGGTAACGAACTCCTTCTATGACGAGTGATTTCTATTTTTGAATTTCACAAAGACCCGCTGAATTCCTTGGCATTATTCAGTGTAGGATTCGCGGCAAAACGCCGCATAGATGCCACAACCCACACGCTCTCTTTTAAAACTTTCATTGTATCTTAAATTGCCTCTTGTTACTTTTTCGTTTCTCTCTCTAAAAAGCAGTTATTGTACTGCATCGATCAAAGGCGCAAGCCACGAAATACTAGAATATTGTAGGAAAACGGCTTCAAATGGCCAGAGATGTCAACAAGCAAGTCAAGCTGGCTTGATTCTTATCGATTGCAGATCACAGACAATATAGAGGCTCGTGCACAGTGGCACGTCCCAGAGAATGGTCTGTGATCTGCAATCGATAAGAATCAAGCCAGCTTGACTTGCTTGTTGACATCTCTGCAAATGGCGGGAGTCCTTTTCACGAACATGTATATAGGCAGGACATCACTCCCCTTAGATACAAAACACCTAGGAATAGGTTCCACGAGGCAAGTGCGACAGCACTATAAGACCACGGCGGGACCCGCCCGAATACCCTATGGAAGGTTACAGATAGGGCGTTAAACCATAATCAACATCAACATCAACCAAAGCTCACATCACGTGGCCGCAACGTCAACCTCCCATCAAAATATAGATAGTACAAGTTGATCGCAAGCATCTAATTACTCCCCCTCTATAAATTCGTATAATAACAGCTTATATACGTGGCTTAATAGCTTCATTTTTGAAGTAGTGGATATGGTGTTCCCCGCGCATCACGCGAATCCGCGCATCACGCGCACGGACACGGTAGTGTATTGTTTGCATGACTGGAGTTTGCAAGCGGTATGTTGTACATCTTCTGAAGGTATGCTGGAGTTGTAATGCTGAAGCATGTATTCGGGTCATCTAATGTAACCACATGACTAGAGTCACATGATATCCCATTGTAGCAGGCACTGCCCGGTGGGCAAGTGCACTTACCTCTGAGCCGAGAGCTCTTGTACACAGACAACACAACACGATAACAGATAGCAATACAATCGTTGATCCACAGCCTCCACCCGACACTGCTCACGCAGTTACATCATGTGTTCCGTTGTGCAACATCCGAGGATGCAGAAGTCTTGGAACTTCCAGACCGAACATGATGCCGCTCGAAGCTAGTCATCAGATGCAAAGTGACTGTTGGCGAAAGTATGGTGATTTCTGTCAACCTGATCTGCTAAAAAGATAAATAGGTCTGGTAGCCGTCCACTGGTGTTCTCTTTACCGCACTCATCCTGTCTCACTGGTTTTGTCAACCATCTTACTTCGCCATCTGTCGCTCAAAAACTCATCGGTGCCATATCAACTGAGCTTTTCAACATGCTTTCCAAAGTTACTTCCCTATTTTTCTTGAGCACTATCCTTGGCTCTGTCTTGGCGGCTCCGATGCCAATGGCGACTTTGAGCCATGACGACCTGGTCAAGCATGTAAGTGCTTTCATCAATGTACCTTTGTTTCTACAAAAGTATACTAATCAGTTGTAGGGCCCTTTCTTGGTGAGTTACGCATCCAACCAAGATCTGGTCAATGTTTCTCTAACAAATGCATAGCCCGAATGCGAGGCTATCTGTGTGCTTGGGTGTATGTTCAACCCCGCTTGCATTCTTGCCTGCACCCCTATCTGTGCTGGAACCGCGGTCGGTGGTGGAGATGATGATGTGATTGACATGGACGCTGTGAATGGGGTTATTGCTAGCTTCACCGACGCTCCGGCCTGATGGCCTGACGGCACATGTTGGACAATCAAACTGTGATTGTTAAAATTTGGTGAACTGGTGACGTTACGGTCCAGGTAAATTGTTATTAGGGAGGAAAAGACGGCCGTTGATTAGTTTATCGGTTGGAATAGACTTTCGCTATAGTTGATTCTATCTCTCAATGACTACTCTCCTTCATGCATGGAGTACGCTCTACAAAAAGCTCTTCAACACTCGCGCGGTCTCTTGACACTCTTCTTCCGAACCGCTTTTTTCTTCAAGGCCACGACCAACGGGCGCTTCAGCTAAAGGAACATCCCAAAGGCCAATATTACCGGCTGTTGCAGTTCAAGGACTTTCATCATCAGCGGCTGGACCAGTACAACGATCGATTAGCTTGCTAGTCCATTTGCTAGTCTTCATACTTGTATGAGACATCTGAGGTGTAGGAGACGAAGAGACTGGCGGAGTAGTCGTCCCTATGGTAGGTGTATAAATGACTTTGCTGACACTCATGTTATCCTCGGGCTTTTGTAGTGGGGGTGTAACCATATTCGACATAGGTGTCTTTGCAACCGATTTAGCTGCCTCCTCTGGCTGTGGGCTGGCTAATATGACTGCAGGGGGATTCTCAGGCTCCTGGGCCCATTTGCTAGCACACAGGCCTACACCTGGCTTGTATGGTTGGATTGAGGAGATTTTCTCAGCTGGAAGAGATAGTATGGGTTTTATCGACTCCTCTGCTTGCCTGCTGGCTTCCTTGTTTTCAGTGGGCTTCTGTGGCGGAACTGAAGTGACCGATTAATCGACTATCTCTGATGAAGGCTCAGTGGGCTTGCTCGGTGACTTGTCGACATTCGTTCCACTGGGTGCCTTCTGCGGTGATGACACAGGGGTAAATGGTTGAGGTGCCTCAGTAGCCTGTTTAACAGGCGCATCTGCATACTTGTTTGCTCCCATTCCAGTGACAGACTTGCTTGATGATAGAGACATAACAAATCTCGTAACAGGCTTTTCCGTCTGCTTGTTCACTGCTACGTTTACGGCGGGCGTCTGAGACGGAGCAGGTATTGCTGAGGACTTTTGGGCGGACAGATTTGGCACATTTTCTGACTTGCTAAACGGATCTGGGGGGCCCGATATTGTATTAGACTTCGCAATGGGATCATCTGTTTGATTGATAGGTGCTGCGTCCACAGTCGGCTTCACGGGTACATCCGCCCACCTACTCGCACTCAGACCGATCGATTTCGATGGAGTCTTCTCTATATGTTCGGTAGGTGTTTTTTTACGCTCGCTGGACTCGATTGGTTTCTTTGGAGCTTGCTGTACCAGCACCTTCGGGGGCTTATCTGGGTCTTTTGCGCAGTCTGCCATCTCCTTGGCAATCTTTAGCGGTATAGTCTTTAGCGGTTGGTTAGAGACCTCGGGACTTTATTATCTTGTAGTTCTTTCCGTTTATATCTAGAAAGATAAAGATTTTAAGGTACTAGAAGTTCTCAGAAAGTCTTTAGCTAGTAAGAAAAGAAATAACGTTAATAAAGACAAGAAAATTGTATAGAGAGAATTGTAGTCAAGTTGATTTTATATTCTATATAAAAGAATAGCCTACGCTCTTACTCTTATATAATTGGTAGAGACTGAAACCCGCAGATAATTGGCCGAGCTAGAACCTTAAGAAGGAACTCTATACAACAACTAAATGCTTACTGTCTCTTACTACTCTCTTAAATCAAGCTAAGATAATTAGTTACCATATAAATCAGAACATAGATCCTTACATAAGTAATTATCGTTATTCCAAGAGGTAGTATTTGCAGCTGATTTATCGTCTACAGGTTAAGTTGCAGTCCTCCTATAAAGCATGTTGATATTATACGTAGCAAGAAAATAGGATCTATATAGGAGAATACGTACAACAGTGCAACCTGAACAACAACAGAGGTCGCCCCTTCTAAGAGTAAGGCAACCGGTACCTTCTTGGACTGGACAACCACCCTGGCGCGCCTCTAGACTAGAAGAGTGGTCGTCGGCATGGATTATCTTCAGAGCAGAAGAATCTTCGAGTCCAAGTTTGGTTGGGGAGCTTAGGCCCTGAGTAGCGAAAGCAAATGCCAAAACGATAGAGAACTTCATATTGACAGTAGTTGAAATAGTGGTCAGATAGATAGTGGTTGATAAGGAGTAAAAAGTAGTTGATAGTTGTTGGAATGAAGTCCAAGTGAGAGAGACATGTGTCTCGTCTTATATAGACACGAAAGGGACCTAGACAAGGACTCCTTGCTAATGTTCGGTCTAACAGTCTGATGCCCCGAATGGTATGTAAGAGAAAGCTCAGACTCCTCGTTAAACCAAGCTATAAGCCCGGCTGCATCGTAGTCGGGTCTCCCCTAAATCGTTTTATCAATCATTTTACCGATTCTGTGACGTACGTAGACTCCTAATAATGACAACGATCTTCATAAATCGGCTTTAACACTTAACATGCAACAGAGTCAGTCCGCGCATTATCCCGTACCGCAAATTATGCTACACCGCGAACTATGCCGAACTCTGCAGGTTAATAGCTTTACGTTTTAAGTAGAGCTCTTTTTTTGCTTACATGATTGTTATACTAACGCTCATACTTTAGTCCGGTGCGGTTCTGCTTCGGTCCGGCGCGGTCCTGCGGTAGCTTAGACCTATCTACAGGGTCACCAAACGCCAAGGCGCATCCTGGTGAGTCCTAGCCATTATCAGGCTATATCACAGTGTCGAGCCGTCGCGTCTCTATCTTCTTGGAGGAAAACCGGCAGTAAATCAGCATAAAAATGTCAGATTTGTGCATACACAATAATGAAAAGACTCAACTTATCAGAACTCATAGCAACTGATCGACCTGGCACAACACAGCAACAAGGCAATAGGCCAAAGACAACAGGGAATTGAGTGTCAACCGGCGGACCTCTACCCACGACATGCAGTTAACTACCTTACTCATAGAAAAGGTACCACGAAGCAGCGCTACAACGCATAAGTGAGGATGTCGTATGGAGCCAGGCGGTCTGTATGATTTCGGGGTTGCAGTTTGGTTGAAAGGATTTGTGGTTTGCAATTTTTGGTGGTCAGAAGCGACATATATCGTAGAAAGGTCTGAGTGAGACAGTTTCGAGTGGGGTAGTGTATCTTCAGTAGTGAACAGCCAGGCGAGCGCGTGATTTCGACGTGTTAGTGGCATTGAGCTCTCACCCAAAGTAAAATGTATGTAACGTGCAGTGTGAGGGCATTTCCCCGGATGTCAATGAAAGAAAATATCGGGTGAAGCTATGGAAATGAATGGATTCGCTTAAATGAGCGTGAATTAAAGGTACATTAAGCATACAAGAGTGTTGTTACATGGAATTAAAGCTACTAGAATCAAGAAATACACCCGGAAACCCAATACCCGACTATACAGCCTGATCCATCTTCACTCACATGTCTCCTTACTTCACCTCGGGGTCATCAAGTCTTTTTCGCGTGCTTAGGCTACCCTTCCACATGAGTACCGTACCTTATATGAACTTTGATACATTAGGACCGTACTTCACAAGCAATTTTAGTCTTTCGATCTCTTGTCTCTTTTCATATAGCTCTTCATTAAAGACATGGTTTTCACCCCGAAACCTCCTGAGCTCCTCCCGAAGATCCTGGATTTCCTTGTTTTCCTCTAGAAGATTTTGCGTTTTCTTCATGGCTTCATCCGCGTTCTGGGTGAAATAGTGGCGCCAGTGGTTCACCTCTGCCTGCTTTTGATTCAACTGGGCACTCCAGTCGCGATTCAAGCGTTCCCGAATCTCCTTTTCAAGGTATGATTTTGCCGCTACGTGGATGGCGTTGGCCTGGGCAAGCCTCTTCCTCTCCAGCCTTAGGGCCGATATCTCACAGATCTTGGCTTCGACCATTTCTGCAAGTGTTTCGTTATCGGGTTCCGGACTGCCCTCCTCGTAAATACCAAGTTTTTGAAACAAGATGTCCGCCACCTTAACACGGAGATCCAGCGTATCATTCTTTTTCTTGAATTCTAATAGCAGGGTTGCAAGCTTATCCGTCCATTCCCTTGTCTCCAAATGTCTCTTTTGCTCTGACTCAAGAAGACCCTTCTGCAACACTAGGCTGTATTCGAGCTCGTCTAGCTTATCCGGTATGGGTCTTACAAAGATGTAGTATACCAGAAAAATATTCGCGATGACCCACATAGAGTAAAAGATCCAGGTGCCCCATCCCAGAAGGAATCCGGTCGTTGTATCATCTGGAGAAACAACTGCCGCGGTTGTCTCATTCCAAATAGGCGTGGCTACCGGGTAGGAGGAGTAGGTATGCGTATATGTTACACACGGTGTTGCTGGATCAATCGGGTAGTGAGTGTATTTCGTAAGGTAGTTCACGTAACGGGAGACAGATGTCACCTGCTTCGTAACAGTGGAATAAACAGTGTCGGGAATCTTGGTCGTGATCGTGCTGGGTTCTTGGGTTAAAGTCGCAATTTCGGTGACTGTAATGGAGAAGGCGCGTTCATCAGGATGGGAAGAATTGCCAGGAAACAGCCGCCAATTGGGTACAAATCCGAAAAATAACAGAACGCATGTTCCGTAGATCATGTCGTACCGCAATACATGCTGAGCAATGCCCGCCATCGTAGCTGTTTCACGTAGTTGAGTTCGTGTGTAGGTGTTCGTGTTCGGGGAGGTAATTAGATTAAAGTCAACGGATTTGCCGATGCTGCTTGCGTCCAGGGCAGTTCTAGATGTTGCTGGTTGGTAATGTGACCGCCTCGAACAAAGGTCTTGCCAGTCGGGTGGCACACAAAGAACAGGTGGGGGAACGGAGAAATCGCATGTCACTACATGGATCAAGAATATAATAGACGACCAGACAAGGTATCAAAGAAGATACATAATAGTAATGGCCAGAAACAATAAGTGAAAGGGAACGCTATTGTGCTGGCGGTGGGATGAGACATTCTGAGTAGCCTCTGGCCCACTCCAGGTCATATTGTACTTGTTTGCTGATAGGCGACAATAGCTGGTATGCCATTCTTGAAGAATGATGGGCGTGAGAAAGGTGTCGCGAGCTGCGCCGAGACCTACCATAGGGTCGTTGTTTCTTTGAACCCTGACGTCTTTGATAGAGTGTGACACCACGCAATGCCTTGCAACCAATCTACGGAATCCAAGAATGAGTACATTGACTTGCTTCCATATATGGCTACGATTTAGCTTGAGCATGCGAAATTTTCAATCATACAGATGAAAGCAAAGTGAGCCATGCGACACATGTGTGGTTCAGTCGAATGACGTCGGATTGGGAGGTGTCGGTCGATGTTTTCTCCGCACAACGCTAGCTGCCCTGCGCTAGCGTTGAACGAAGCCAGCACACCAACAATCCCATACCCAGTACCTATCTGCACCATGAGCGCGGGGTGGTAGATCTACATCAAGACATGCTTACGCGTTTGGCCATGTTTGACTGGCAAAAACAACGCAATGCTCACTCATGCCCGAGCCCAAAAGGACGCAACACTACCTGGTATACCACCTCCGGACTCAGCCTACCGTCTGCGTGGACTTTGAGCCAATGCAGCAGCACATGCTCGATGTCGGCCGACGTGGGGAGATCCGATGGCTTCGATAGCCACTACGCGCAGGGCGATGGAGCCCACCCGTCGAGCTCGTAGCTCACAGCGCAAAATGCTTGCCTAATTCGGGCATCCTAACCCGCCCACAAAAGATGCTCCACAGCGGCACCGCGAAGCCGCTTGGAGCAAAATTGACAAAGTAGCAACAAAGTACACCGCCTCAGGCCGAATGAACGGGCCTTTGGGAAGGCTTAGTCTGGGGTACAAGAGCTTGTCGCCGTTTTACTCCACTTCCGTGTGGTGAATCCGCGCTCGGCGTAGCATGATACCATGGAGAGAGTCCTTAGGAACCGTGCCACAGGTTGACTGCTTATCATAAGGATTGCTTGTCCCCATCTTTGGCAGAGCCGCTTGCCTGAAAACACTCGATGCGGATTATAGTGCAGCCGCATACCCGAATACTGGAATTGAACTAAGTGGTGGGCACGCGACCACGGCTATTTCTCGGTTCCTTCTCTTAACACATGTCTTTCAGCTTCCGCCTGCTTCCCATGTTACTGCAATATACCAATTTCAACATGGCCCCAACAGCATCAGCAACCGCCGCAGTACCGACACTGACACAAAGTGGGGCACGGGTCGCCTTGGAAGCAGCAGAGCAGCATGCGCTCGATGTTGGAGTACCAATGTAAGATCCCGTGCCCCTCGGCGTCCCATCACAAGACCTCTGGAACAGATAGGGCTGACACAGACCAGGAGCGTAGCTGTAGTAGATGCGCACACACACCTTTTAGCCTTCACACGCATGGATGGCGCGAAAATAACTTCGATAAACACTGCCATGGACATGGCATTCACCGCCGCCGGGAACCGCATCCCCACCTCCGCATACCAAGAAACACCATGGCCGGGCAGCGCGACTTCGGGCATTGGCAACACAATCATGGGTCGCTTCACCACGCTCGGTGGCGGCGTGCCTATTCTCTCGGCTGCGGGAGACATACTGGGCGCAATAGGCTGTTCTACCGGCACAAGCATGCAAGATGAAGCCGCGGCGAAAGCGGGCAGGGATGCGGTGCTAGAAGTCATAAGGAAGGAGAAAGAAGCAGAGGATATACGGCTACACGAGGAGAGGCAGGCTGTGCTTACATTGTGGAAAGAAAAGGAAGAGGAAGTGGGCAGCCTGCGGGAAGAACTAGAGGGAATGGACAGGAGCAGCAAGAGGATAAGGCTCGATGGAGGGCGATCGGGCAGCGCAAGTGTTGCCAGCAGTATGGCAGGAAGGAGGTCGAGCACACAGACAGGTGTGGCACCAGATACGCCGCCTGAAGACGCTGCGCTGCATCCCAGCTTTGTTGGAGAAGTTTCCGTGGGACGATATTAAGCAATCCCCCACTACAATCATTTTGGCGTTTGGACGGTAACGACTCTCACTTGGTTATGCGGGAAGCATGGCGTTGGTCCATCTGCGTTTGGTAATCGCTCTCAGAGGTGAGGAAAGGCGTTTGAGATGGGTAATATATAATGAATACCATTTGATGCCCAGGCCACCTATTGACATATAACTCGTTCACCACTCTGCCTTGTGTTTCCGTCTCGTCCAGAGCTCAAATCACATGCAGTAGATGATGCACTCATTTACCACCACACCACGACCTTGATAAACGCAAGGCTCACACCCCTCCCATCACCTCCACTGCCGTCCAGCCAACCCTGAACCCGTCAACCCTATGATTCGCATGGCAGGCTGAACCACAGTTCCATGATCTCGGGACAAAAAATCACGGACCTTCCCACATACAATACGACAATCAGGCTTACAACAACCGTGCCTCGCGATGCAGACAATCTACTCAAACGCAGCCCCATCGGCGGCCTGCCGATCCTCGTGTCCGCCCATCACGCAACACGCAGTCTTACCACCGAAAAAAAAACCCCCCTCCACCACCCTGTCTTCCAGCAATAAGTGAGTGAACACGTGAGGTCAGCATTTCATTCTGGGTAAAGTGCTGAGTGACGGTCTTAGCAACCCTTGTGCGTAGATCGCATTGATTGATCGTCCCGAGGGCTTTCGCCAGCTGGGTCTAGTCTGAAGCAAACGGGAAAATCTGGGGTGTGGTGGTGTGTGGGTGTGCAGACGGGCAGCGGGTGGGTGGGTGAGTGGTATCTAGGCGTGGGGTAAGCGCGCATGTGGTGGCCCCGATCAGCAGCTACTTAGACTAGGCATGTTTCAACGCGTTTTACGTCCGCGGTGCAAGTGTGTGTTTTGTTCGCTGTGCGTGAAGCTTGTCTGTTGCGCACGAGTTGAGATGGTGCGGCGGGGAAGGAGATAAGGGAGGGAGGGGATCGCAGGGGTGTTGAAGGTTGCGTGTTTAGTTGGATGGCGGGAGAGATCGTATTGCTGACCGATCTAACATGTCGCTTTCTTCGGAACGAGGGCTCGGTAGTTAAAGTTACTGTTCTGAGTTGAGTTGAATTGTTCAAGTGTTTGAGGAGAAGGTTGTAGAGACCAACGGACTTGTAGATGTATGACGTCATTGTGCCCCGCGGTATATATCGCAATCGTAGGATAGACAGATCTGGATGGACATGTTATCAATCCGCATGTTACGGTGTTAGTTTATGCATTCATGCATGTAAGATGGGGGCTCTTCACCTCGGTATGAGTTGTCCCGGTTGTCCTGGTTCCGCGGACCGTTATCATACTTGGCGGTACGGGCAGAACGGCTCACGATATGTATGTTGCGAGTACCAACGTGTAAGCTTTTCCGATGACTTATATCCGAAACTAAGACTTCTTTTCTATGTTGCAAATGGAGTGCAGTGTTGGGTGGAGAGCGATACAATGACAACTGCCGTCACATGAGATTGTTACAGGAGGGCAGATCATAATGGACCAAGAAGACATTGATGTACCACAACCATAGATCTCACAATTCAAGAGGAGAGGTAGTTCCCAAAACAAGGACTTGTGTCATTTGTATCATGTGTCATAAAAATAATCATCCAAACCGGGTCTATCCAAGACCCTCTGCAATGTATATGTACCAAGAATGAAAAGGTAAAAGTCGTAAGTGTCACCAGTGAGTTTCTCAAGCCTCGCCCGCAAGGGGCATTTCCACCCTTCCTGCAACACTCCGCTTCAGAGTTTCCTGACCAGAGCAGATCTTCATGTACATGTCGACATTGGTTCCGACCGAGGCAGGGCAGTTGAATACCGGCTCATTGATGCCGAGGGTCAACAAAGGTTGGGGCACGTAGTAAGCCTGGGTAGGGCAATAGGTTCCAGCCTGACAGTCAATGGCGCCGCATGCGGAGTTGCTGGCTTCCATGGCGAGACCATCGTCGTGGCCAGGGCAGTTTGACGCAGAGTTGCCTTTAGCGCAGTCGACAAAAGAGATGTCGTACCAGATTTGTTTGCCAGCAATGGAGTACTCGAATTGAGTGTGATGTCCAGCAAGCAGTTCAGAGGACTTGCTGATCTTGAGGGAGGTGCCAGTGTTGGTCAGAGGCTCGCTGTGCTGAGAGCGCGCGGGAACGTGGACTGGGGTACCCCAGGCGTTGGGAGAGACACTCCAGACCCAGACGTCGTAGTCGCAACGGTTGGAGATGATGGCATTGCCAGCCAGTGCAAGACTTGCTTGTAGCGCAACAAGGGAGAGGCTAAGCTTGGAAAGCATTGTTGGTGATGTCTTGTTTGAGATGTATATTTGGAAATGATTGTTGGGTGCAAAATGCGTGGCGACTGATGTGGTGGGGTCCGTGTTTGAGATGAAAATAGAATATGAATGAATATTTTGTTGATGTTTAGCTACAGGGAGTGGAATTTTTGGAATGAATGTGATAAAAAGTCGATGCTTCAAGCAGATAAGGAGTGTGTGATAAAGATCAAAGAAGGAACGTGAACATTAACGTTAAGAAGTTGGCGGCTTTGAAGAAAATTTAGAGCGTCGCCCTGTTCTTTATCACTTTTCACATCGGTTGCCGAACAAAGGCTCTGGCCCCGGCCCCCAAAATCCTACCTGTAGCCACCATCCTACTTTGAAACACTAAGCACAAGACAGTCGTGCCTAGACAAACCCAAGTCCGGCGGCGGCTGCAGTATTTCCGCGGTTTTTTGCTCAGCGCTGTAGGTGAAAATGGTGTCATGGACGCTGGTTGGTCAGATTGCCTAATTAGGCTGCGCATAAGCTCAGCCTCCCGGGGTGGACGTAAGGAACTGCGCGGCTCGCCACGTTTTCAAACCTTATTCCGTACCTGACAGATCTGTGGTTTGTTTTTGGAGGTGGGCTTAGGGAGCACTCTTTGCGCCCGTGGTGCCTTTGTGTGATGGAAAGCTGTCAAGCTTGGAGGCGCACCCTTGGAAGGGGTGAGAAGTATGTGTTTTGGCAATGACTTTCAGAGTTTTCGGTCGCTCCTGCTAGTTTTTCGTCTGAAATCTTCGAGGATGCTGGAGTGGATGCCCAGAGGAGCCGCGTGGATACTTAGACCTATACCCGCCAATGAGGTAGCGATCGATGGCAAGGCAAAGCGATGCCGTGAAGCCAGCTGAGGCTGGGCCTGCCTGACGCCATGGTACATTAGAGCTACATGCAGTGGCTGAGTAGCGAGTCTGCCTACTCACTGGACCGATCATGGGAGTTCATCGGAACTGACGTGTCGAAGTCGTCGGGCGTCAGATACGACTGTGGCTGATGTTCATAGGTGCAGCTTCGATGTTGGGGGAGTCATCGGATAAATCAGAAAGTCCAAGTATTGTGCAAAAGCTCGATTCCAGTCTAGATAACAAGCTTGATATTTGCTTTTCGTATGTAAAATGCCGATAAAGGTCTGGACGATGACCTATGAGGTATGAAAGCCAAGACGCTACCCTGATGCGGTATCGTCTACGTCTGCTACCCAATACCTTCGACCCACCTGTACCTTTTGACTTTGCAGGTGGTTCTTGCCTGGCAACTCCATGTTTCGAAGCCATGTCATTCTCGCATCTTTTGCTGGACTTGGAATGTTTTACCCAACTCCCAAGCTCTTGTGTCAGATTATAAGTAACTTCAGGTTCCGGATGGGCACCGCAGCCATGGCAGGAACATGGAACCGCCCATTGGGTGCTTACTGAAACACCAAGATAGCGGAGACGGTTGGCAAGGTCAACGGCTAAGACAGTGGAGACAAGTGGTGAGCAGAGTTTTCGTGGTTTGCGTGTGCCCGTCCGGGATTCCGGGAGAGCGACTGCAGGTGTTCCGCAATCAAGGCTGAGAGGTGCATGCGAGTACGCGTGTCTGACCTCAGACTGAACCGGGTACTAGGTCAGCCTTCCAACAGCCGATAGTTGACAGGAACGGGAAAAGAATTTGAAAGGCTAATGCAGCAGAGTTTCTTCGCGAACAAGCTTATCGACGCTACTGCGGGCAGCTATCTAATCGATAGGAGTTTTCTTCTCCACGTTTCGAGTTTCAACCATTTCAACGGCCAATAGCGCCCGCATCAGCAGTGTGCATACACGCAGAGAAGAGTTTCAAAGACATTTCTTCGCGGGCCTAGATTGGATGCGCATTTGTCTGCAAAGGTCGGCGGCAGTAGAAGGTATAGTATTCAAGCCAAAATCACGTATATAGTGGCGCATGTTCGAGACGGTCGGAAAGTGCAGCGGGCGAGGAACCGGTCAAGAGGCTCGAGTGGCAGTCAACAAACAAGCATGGCACTACGGTGGTTAACTGCCAGCTATCCTAAATGTGGTGATAGACCCGGTATGAAATAGGGCCGCAGGGGTGGGCCAGTGGATAGAACTGTCCCGGGTCCGGAACGTTTGCTAGCTGGCCGCGCAAGACAACTGGCGCCCCACTGCTCGCAAGCAATCTTTGACGAGACAGAACACGAAGACATGCAGACCGTATCGCTGCCTCTGAGTTTCACCACGTCTCGCGGCTGGAGAGAGAGCCCCGTAGCCGCTTCGGTGCTTCCTCCCATGCGAGATGAAAGGCGAAAAAAAAAAACTGATTTGGTAGCGGGTGAGCAATTAACAAGCTGGCCCACCTTGCTTCAACGCTCATTATCACCACCATGTTAATCTGGGCATGAATACCTGGGCATGCTAGGCGGGCCGCGTGCCTCCGCTGGGGAGATGACGTCGAATTTCCATTTCGGCCCACGACTGATTGCCTCATGGCCATGTACGGCTCGTAGGCCCAGCCCAGCCCGTAGTTGCTTCGTTGTACCTTGCTCTACGCACTCCACGGCTCAACAATCACCATCTCGGCTTTGTTGTCAAGGTGCGCTAACACGTGGCGGCCGTCGTGCGCAAGATGAATGGTGTCACGTTGGTGGGGAAGTGTAGGAATCATCTGGCGCTGACTGGTGTTTCGACACGTCGACGTAACCCACTGCCGTGGCGGAAGCATGTCACGATGCCGGGAAAGATGCAGGCTTCCTCTCCGCGATTACAGACGGGATCTCCAAATTGTTTCTGATGCACTGTTTCAGCATGGAGGCTGCCGTCCGTCATTCTGGTAGTCCCGCCCGCAAAAGTCTCGACTCTCTGACCCTGCGATGATTATCTCCGCACAGACGTCAAGGCTGGCCTCTGCTGTTCGCCTTGCCAAAATCGGGCCAAGACAGCAAGACGGGTGAAACTACGCCGGGCTCGGCTTGTGACAAGTCTTGCACAAAGTGTTTGTCCATTACCCGAGTCATCGGCCATTATCCGTCAGCCAAAAAAAAAAAAAGGTACGATGAGCTAAGAGCATCACCTGAAACGCAGGCTTGTTCCTGGGAGGCTACGTAGTGGACAAAATGACCAATAGTACGATTACATATTTGAGCTATCCCGAGCTCTTCCTTCTCTAGGTTTAGCGTTCCGCCTACATTACCGAAGCGGGCGTCTTGTCCAGTCCCCTGCGTCCCCTGCGCAAGCCCAATGATCATCTGTCGTTTGCCCCTGAAGCTCGACATGACTGGCCCGAACCAACGAAAAACAAATCGAAGCGCCGACAAGGCGACAAAGATATCACACAAAAACCACTAACTGCCGCGTGACGTCGGCCAAACAAAATAAAGCGCTTCATGTCGACATTGTATGAACGGTCAGCCAATGCTGGAGTCGTGCAGGCCTCAGACTGCAGAACCTTGGCCAACTTGGCCAACGGCGTCGAGCACTCTACAGGGGATGAAATGAAAGGATCTGGTTGGTGTACCCAGGCCTGGTTCGGACGTGAATTGCGCCTAACATGTCCTAGTGTCAGGCACAGGTAAATCTGTGGAGGACGGGGCGTGGGCGGGCGTGCCATGGCGGCATGGCCTTCGTTTTCATTTCACAACCCTTGTCTGCTGCACAGCGCCTGACGCCGCGTGCGAGGTGCTTAGCGTTGCATTGTATAAATCTAGTCTTTCCCTCGTGTAAAAGAAAGCCGTTCCTTTGATACTCCAGGTCTGCGACTTCCAGGTTTCGACACAGTCATTCACTCCCTACAAGGTCAATTTTTTGACACCACGTTCACTACCGCCCTTCGGCATCAATACGCTCTCTTCGCAACCTACAACCAAACCTCTCGACCGTTGATTCTTCTTGTCAATACCTCGAGTCCATTCACCTAACAAATCTATCAACAACATATCAACATGCGTTCCGTCATCGCTTTCGTGTCGCTGCCCTTGCTGC